GGGGAGCCAGGGTGAGATGGGAGTGCGCTTGTTTGAGGTTGGGGAGCGGGTGGGGGGTGAGGGAGGGAGAGCAGGCAGCCTGCAAGCTAAATTATTGTGAATAACAATAGTTGTTAGTGTTAGGTAGCTCGTTCAAGGGGCATCCCGCCAAAGGAATGCCAGCTCTCACCCTTTTTTTCTTATTATTCTTTTTTGCTTTTTTCTTTCTTCCCCTTTTCTCCTGTTCCTACCTCCCTGTTTTTAGGGTTTTCTCAGCTCTGGATGGGAACTGCAATGTTTTTTGAGCTGCTGACTGCAGGAAGGGTTGAATGTTTCTGTCCGTGGTGAAACTTGCTCAACACAGATGAAAAGTTTGCATCTTGAAGAGTCTTTTTCCTTCCTTCCTGAGGAAAAGACCTTCAAAGTGGGAATTATCCTTGTGTCCTATTAGCCGCCAAGTAGTTCCTTTCCTTTGGAGTTCAGTAGCCATGGGGCCATCAAAAAGAGAAGAGGGGGAGCAGAGTATAATCCTGATCAGCGATGATGAAGCTGAGGGCACGCTTGGGAATTCAGTTCTGTTAGTTGACCCATTGGGTAAGTACTGCGCTCTTGTTGTCGATGAAGTTCTCTAATAATAAATTTGAAATAAGCTGAAGTAAAATGGTTATGTGATATGCTTGAAACGTGTCTTTCTGCTGCTAGGAAAACAGCATACTTCAAAATTAAATAAAACCGGGAGGAACTGCCATTATTTCATAACTTCGGGGATTTCTTTGGCCGTGCTGATTATCTTAAAGGCTACTGCTGTTGGTTTCAAAATATTACAAACTTAGCTGAGACTGGGCCTTTTCAGTGTCGATTGGATCCTTTTTTGATTAAATTACCTCTGTTCTGATAGTGTGTGGAAGTTTTTTTTTGTCCCAGGCCACTGCACCATTCTTATTGTCACCATATGAAATTCTTAAGAAAATTTGTGCCTTGAAGTGTTTTTAAAAAAATAAGTGTCAACAGCTGGTGGAATTTTAATGAAGTTGTAGGTACCTTTACACTGATTCACACTGCGTATTCTCTTTTCTACAGAGAAGTCTGCCCTGGAAGAGGAGAAATTGGAAGAAGTTGTGGATGAGGAATGTGAACTAATGGTTACTTTCTGTAAACAAGCAAAAGTGATGCCTCATGCAAGATATGACTGTACAATACACCCATTCGAGTATGTTCGATGATGTGGAGGTTAATATGGGGGTTTCATTTTCCACACTTAGTCCGTCTTGTCAAGTAACCTTGCTAGCTTTTTAATGTCTGAAAGCAGATATAGACTTGGAGAAGCTTGTGACTTGTTTTATAAACAACATTCTGTTTTTCAATTCTGTAGGCGAATGGAATGTGATACGTGCTCACCCCTTGGGAAAAATGCTGATATCTGTAATCAGTGCTACTGCTACATTTGTGATAAACTAGCTTCTGAGGTAGGAAGAGCTGTTTTCAAGAAATGTGCAACTTTAAGTAAACTATTCAACAGTCTTTTAAAAAGAAATCACTCTTAAGCATGCTAAAAGAATAAACAATACATGAAATTTGATGATTTTAACAGTTCCTCTCCTAAATGTTGGTATCTGTCTACTTTACAGTGCTGCTAAAACGTGGTCACTGTCTGAGTTTATTTCTAGTAGTCCAGCCAGTTGTTGGAGTAGACACTCACTTGGTATAAGCAAATATACCTCCTCTTTGCTGTAGGCACACAGTGTATTTTATGGAATCTAATTTCTAAATCAGCTACTTCTTGCTGCACTTGAGAAAAGTCAAACTTTTAGACTGTCCTAACCTAGGGCAAGGGAGTGGGTGAGTTTAGGGAATTGGGTGTGTGGAGTTTGTTTGTTTGGGGTTTTTTTAGAAAACAGAAAACTCTGAACTGTAAGCAAAGTTGGGGTGAACATGTAAAGGCAGTGCTCTGCTGCCAGTTTACAGCAGGGAGGGTGCCAGCCCTAAGTGTGGCTGTAAAGTATGGAATGATGTGAACTACTATGGGCACTTTTTTTTTGTTAGCCTTGATATCAAGTTATTGCTGTGTTGGTCTCTTGCCCTGACCATCAGAATACTTCACTGTGGCTTTGCCTAGGTGTGTAAAGGTTGAAATGAATTGTAGTTCTTCACTCAGAGGAACTAAATTTGATTTGCTAAACTGGCGAGAAAAAAAGAAAAAAACCTTTCCCTGTTTTTTCACGTTTTATGAAATAGTGCCAGAATTGGACAACCCCTTCCCTCTGTCACTGCAATGCACACAACAAAAGCAAGTTCTGGAAGGACCAGCGAGACTTTGCCTTGGCTGGTGTTCTTGTAATGTTCAATTTGGAGCTCACAGATATAGACGCAGACCTTCGGCATGGTGGTAAGCGTTACGCTCTCAATACTGTCCTGGGAGACCTGTGTCTCACTGTGGCTACTCAGTCTGTGGCTTGATGGACAGCTCATCTGGTCCACAACTCTCATGGTGAAGGCTTGGTGAATTTTTAAGGTAGCAGCTTACTGTTGCTTTCCTGGCCAGTAAGACTGGGTGCAAGTAACTTGCTAAATGTTTTACATGGGGTACTTATGGTTGTCTTTCTGTTTCTTCAGTTCTGAAAAAAAAAAAGTACGCTAACGGTTTCACATCTGTCTGCTCTCTTAGGAAGTCTTCTAATAAAATTTATCCAGGAACTTTCTGTGGAATATAATAAGTACCTGGTTGGAGAAAGAATGCCTCCCAGAGAACATGAATGCTTTTGCCTCCCAAAATTGCCTCCTGGACAATGCAATATCTGCAGGTCACGCAACATGGAGGTTGTATACAAGTAAGTGACAACAGAACTCGGCTACTAGCAGTATGTACTGGTCAGTGCAGGTTTGATTTCCTTTAATCAAGTGATAATCAGGGCCATGGCACCTGACATAGCAGAAGCACAGAGGAGAGAGCTTACTTGGCCAATGAGCTATTAAAATGCTCTTGGATGTAGTTTAAACACCCCCTCAAATAAATCTTTAAATATACCTTAAATACAACTTTAAATAGATCTCTTGTGCTATACTAAGACACTTGATAATATCCCTCGTTATTATAACCTGGAAAGCTTGAAAATAAAGCCTGTATTTTTACAAACTTGTTTTTTAGGATGAGGTTCAGCTTTTACTCAGTGGTATGTGACTTTAAAATGCATAAACTAATGGTTGTGCAAATACCTTTTCACTATGTTATAGATTCTTTTCAAGGAAAGGCAAGACCATTTGCTCTCAAACTGTAGAACAGTCATAATTGCCATTTGTTTACAAAGTACATCATTGCAGACACTGTATCTTATAGACTACTTAACTTTCTTAGGTATTCTGGAGTTTTTGCGCTGGTAACAAGATTTTTAAATGAGGCAGAAAGAGAGAGCCCTAAAGCTGCTGCTGTCATGTTTCTGGGAGCAGCTAAGGAGATAGCACTTCATAAAGACCCGGCTTTGTAAGTATCCAGTTCCACATTGAGTGTGTAATCTTCATTTGCTTCTCAAAGGGAGGAGACAGAGACTTCTGGGGAAAAGAGAAGGTTAAAGGTTGGCTGTGGGAGGAAGAAGTTAAGTGGGGTTGAGTCATGAGGAGGGGAGATGATTTCCAACAAGAGAAAGGAATTTGAGATGGGAACTGGGAGGAAGGAGGGTGGCAGACAGCAGGTGGGGTTAATTCCCCAGGAGAAGGGGCAGGGGAACTTTTGTCAGTGGAGAGTGCACAAGCTGCACTGTGCAAAGAAGCATCAGCTTCTGGACTGGGAGGGAGGGAGGATGTGATGTTCCTTGGGTAATAAGTTTTAGATGCCTCCTGTAAGTCTGGAGGCTGACCTGTCAGCTGGCAGGACTGCATAATAAATAAATGAAAACAGAGTTTAAATACTTCAGTCTTTACTACTTGAGCTGTTTATTTTCTTGTTTATATCATGGCTGTTTCATGCTTGATTACTGTCTAGCTTGAACAAGGTTGCAGAGCTTTGCTTTGCAAAACCTAAATATTTTGGGGCTTGAATTCAAGGTTTTTTTATAAAGGAGAAGTAAACATGGTCTGGATTGGTTTGACAGGCCAGAACCAGCAGTTCCTGTGCAATTCTTTCTGAGTAACTGTTGAATTTTGCAAGGAGCAGGCTGGATGTGTTATTTGGGTAGGTCTCTCTTTGTATGCTTATGAGTCCTGCATCATTCACTGCAGTTCCATGGGATGCAGTTTGGCCCTCTCATAGGATGATGATATACAGCCCTTCAGAGGGCCTGTGAAAGCAAAGATGCGCCCATGATGGTCTGATACAGCAGGTTAGAAGGTTTGGTACTGCTTTATTCTGCTTGGGTCAGGGGGTGAGATACGCTTCTTTTGGTTAGGGACTGCTGTAAAGTAGTGTTAATTCTAGGATATGTTTTACACTTTGAGCGCTTCTCTTACCTCTTTGGAATAATTTTATTAGCATGATAGCTCCCAACACTTTTTAAGAAAAAAAGTGTTTTCTTAGACAGTTGAGTATAGAGCAGGGGAAAAGGCAGGAAAACAAGCCAAACGTTAATTAGTGCTTTTTTTCCTCCTTGCTTAGAAGCTGGCAGAACCTTGGTCATACTGCTTCACTGAAGATTGCTGTCCCTTGTCTGTTACAAAGGTAAGACTTGTCTTATCATATGATGAGATGGCAGTGGGATGGTTGCTAGCTGCAAACTTTCTGCTTGCATTTAAAACACACTTCAGATGACTTCTATTCAAAGGCATAAAGGGAAAAAAAAAAGTGAATGCTTTAGCTCTTAAAAGCCGAAAGTAAATTTGCTCAAGTGTATAATCTTATGGTTCTGTAGCATCAGGAACTCCTTATCAGGGAGCATGACCCCGCTGTACTGTCTTAGGGATTGTTTGAGCAGAGCAGGAGTAGCCCACTGCTGCCTGCGTGTAGACAGCAGATGGGTAGGGACAGACAGAAGAATACAAATGGCAACATGCATGGGTCAGCCTAATGAGCAGGGACCTCAGCGCGCTATCAGGTTCTACAGCTGTATGCTACTAATCAGGGGTTTTAGAAGCTCTGTTGAATATTAGTTCCTTTCTGTGAAGGACAAGGGCAATACCCGCCTTACTTAGAGCCCCATAAAGATTCAAACCCTTCTTTGTTGCCTCAAAGGAGAATAACTCAATAAGGAACTCAAAGCCAAGAAAATGGATTACTTTTCGACTGTAGTCTAGGAGTGTTCGCTAAGGCCAGACCAGAAGGTGGTGTCAGATAGCTACTTGTGGTTATTATGCCAAAGAGTAAATAGTGTCTGTTAAAGATCAAAACAGCAGCCATGTAGTACTCCACTGGGATGGAGTAGTCAGGGATGTAACATAGTCAAGTTCCCCCAGAGGCTGATGAATAAGGTCATCTAGCTCACTTGGCTTAATTCATTTCTTATTTTAGCTTTATACTTCACCTTTCACCCAAAATTCACTTGCAACAGAAGGTTAATGAATTAAGAATTAACTTTTTTCAGGAGCACTCAGAAACAATTATACATTCTCACCTCTTATTTGAAACTAATGACAGGTATAACCTAAATCCTATATCAGTTTTCATTTTAAATTACTATTCTTGAATTTTTTAATTTCTTACTTTAAAAGAACAGGAAAAGAACTTTTTGCCTCCCTCCCCCAGTTGGAGAAGAGTAAACGCTTCTTTGTGTCAGTGTGTTATCTCCAGTTTTCAGTTAAGACAAAAATGGTTTCACTGGCCATGAAGCTGCCAGGAGCTCAGGTTGATCAGATTGCTTACCAGGTTTGTCCTAGGTTGCTGCTGTGTTTCTCATATCTACTCGCGGGGGATCTTTGTTGTAAAACTTAAGACCACAGAAGCTTGGTTTCACTGGTGCTTAAAAATAATAACAAGAGCAATACTGTTATTCACTACAAGCCTTAAAGCACAAATTTCAATATAGATCCACACTGTCTGACACTTAACCAAAAAGAACGCCCTAACTTCTGTAGAATAGTTTCCCATAGGATTAAAAAAAAAAACCCACAACTTAATAGTAATTCATCTGATTTTAAGAGATTTTGATTATTTTTTTTTTTCTTTTCAAAACTTAGGATCACAACACAACTTCAGAAGATGCTGGTGTTGTGTGACTTTCCAAAAAATCTGTATGAAAAATTTGTTAATTTTTTTCAGTCCATCTCACTTCCCTGTCACTGTTTTGGCTTCTCAAATAGGTATGTTCTTTGCATTTTATTTACAGAATATATTTTTATACAGTTGCCTGATTTGAAAACAGCTATATAGAATGGTTCTTTGACTGACTGTGTTAGGTGTGAGCATTTTGTAGGAAGATTTCAGCATTAGCCGCTTTGTCTTTGTCCTGTCCTTACGGGAAAAGCTGGTGTTTGATGCTGCAGCTAAGTTGTCCCCATAGCTTTTCTCTTTCTTTTTTTTCCGTTTTTTCTTTCCCCCAGAAGTGAGCTGTAAACCTCAAAATGTTTTATTGGTAAATCTTTGTGTTACTTAAGGGAAATAACCATGTTTTGTTTCTACAACACAATTTTAAAATGACTTTATTTTTGTACTTCCAGCTTGAATGTTGTGCCATGGGACCATGTATTACTGACCACTGTTTTGAAAGGCCAAAACATTACTGGTCAAAGAACACAGAAAGGAAGAAAAGTATTTCTGTGGGAAACACTCCCTGTTATAGAGGCTCGAGTGGAGAGATTGGTAGACAAAATGAAGTAAGATCAGTTCGGTCTTGTTTGGGGTTTCTCATTTTATGAACTCAACTGTCACATTTTGCATGGGATCGACTGCAGTACAGCGTTTCCCTAACATCTGCAGTTTTGTGTAATGGGCAAACACAGACACATTTGAAGGTGTTCATGCCCGTTACTTCTTATCAACAAGGTTAGTAGCTTTTTGAAGTTTTTCAAAGCAGAATCAAGCCCTTTGAACACTTCAGGACCAGAAAAGGATGTTAAAGTGGATCATTTCTTTGTTTCTGTAAACGCAGTAGTTTTTAGATGTTGAAGTTTAAAACAAATTCTATTCGTCAAAGGCTGACTAGGTGGAAGACAGCAAAAAAAGTGCGTTCTGGTCTCTAGGTCTTCAGAAGTCTGTATTCAGAAGCAGACAATGTGTTTTATTTTGCCAGAGTCCAAAGATAATATGTGGATAGCTGCTTGGAACTTATTTCCAACAGTCTCTTTCTGCCAGTTGTATTTCTATCTCATTGTGCAATGTCTCTTGTTTGGGAAGATCTACAGTTTTGCTTCATTAATTATAGTAAATATTTGTTTGACTTGTATATAGCTTTGCACTTCCTTCCTCTTCCTACTCACCCTTTTTTCTTCCCCAGCTATAAAGAAGTTGTTCGCTACCTGAGAGCTGTGAAATGCAATGATACCAAAGGGTAAATGGTGCTTTTTTTTTTTTAAATTGTTTCTTTGCCTTAGGATTGTGTCCTGGTCTGTGTTTTCTTCAATGTGTAATAAACTGGCAGAATGAAAAGCAGTGGGATTTGGGCAGCTGTTTGCTAAGTGGAAGTAATACTGCATTGCAACTGATTTCTGCCTTATTGGATGTAACTTATTAGTGGTCAGGCATAACCAGATCTATACACACATCTTGTAAAACTTTCATGCTCATGAAAATCAAATATTCATTTCTTCTTCCTTTCCAGGTTAAGAGACCTTCGAGATAAAATCCCATTCTACTTGTGCAAAACTGGAGACTTCCTCGAAGCTGCGCATTCGCTGCTGTTTCCAGTCAGTAGCCTCGCCTGCTGCACTGCCTGCCGGCTGACGCCTTTTCAGTTTGAGGTCTACCTGAAGATGTTCAGAACAGGCAGCATCCCCACTGGAAAGGACATGCTAGACTCTGGGCCCTGGATTACAGTTGGCAAGTGTGATTTCTTGCTTACGTATGTTTAGAATCTTACTTAATTACAGCTTTTACTTTTTCATTAAATCTAGTAACAATCTGAGGGACTCTGCACCCAACTATAAATTGCCCACACTAAAGCATGGTACATAACACTAGGCAAGAAGAACATCTTTATATTTGAGCATGAATTTGTTCCATACGCTTCACACAAAATGCTAGTTTTGTGGGTGGCGAAGTTGTTTTGCTGAAAGCAACCTATTAAAAGAACATACAAAGTACTCTATTACATCATGGCATTACCAATGGCAGTGTGTAACTTCACATTATGGCTTGTCTCAGCCTTGACCTTGAGAATAAAAGCTCCCTGATGGAAAGGGTTTCACAACCTGTGTGTTACATTCCGTCGCTAGTTCAGCCACTGATAGCTGTGATCAGCCATCTTGGTGTGTGCTACTTGTCAAGGGGCATTCTGAAATGAAAGATTTATTTTGGAGATGTTCTGCTATGAGTAGAATTCTTAGACCTGTAAGATACCTATAGTGTGTATCGTGCTGTACTGTGGTGTGATATACACAGTGAAGGCTTTGTTCTGGGTTATCTGCTGTGATGGCTTAGTCTCAGTTGTATTCAGTTCTTTGCAGCGTTCCAGAGTAGCATTTTACAGTTGACATTGGGTTTTCTATTCAGAACCTACAAAAATTGTAAAATAGCTGTAGATGCTCATTTGTCTCTTTGTTAGGTTTCTGTAGAAACATATCTGTAATAAATTAATATCTTGTTTGTGTTCACACTCTATTCAGGGAACACAAGATATATTTTGGGCTCTTTCTTCTTGCAGGGTCTCCCTTGAAAGATGGTGTTCTAATTAAGCAGGCGCTCAAACTCCTTTACAGCAATGTGTCGCTATACAGAAATGTGAGTTTCTATTAAAACTGTGTTTCTGTGACCCATCGAGTGTTTGTGTGTTACCTGATTTGTCCAGTTACTTCTCTAACGCAAGGATTTACTATCGGAACCCTTTTCTCTCTGAATTTTTCACACCTCTGTGACTGGATTTCACTTTGTAAACAAATGTTCTGCTGTGTTTCAGCCCAAATGCTGGAGTTCCCTCATCATGATTTTGGGTAGTAGCAGTTTGCTGGAAAAAAGTGGGCACCTACATCCCCTATCCCTGAAAGAGCCACCGCTTGACTTCCAAAAGGTAACTGAAACAATACTGTGAAATGAGAGAATCTGTTGTCTTGGTTCTATACAGGACTGCATTTGATGTGGGCATGGGCTCGTTCTTGAATACGAAAGTTAACTTCACAGTGCTTCATCAAATGCTCTTGTATATACCACGTGTAACGCTTTGCAGAATGTTGAGATTCAGGAGTGTTAAATGCAACAGTCAACAGATTAACTCTGCTTGCAGCTCATAGAATCATAGAATGTTTTGGCTTCGAAGGGACCCCTAGAGGTCATCTAGTCCAACCCCTCTGCAGTGAGCAGGGACACCGATAGCCTAATACTGATTCTGTATCTTTTAATGTTGAGATGGATCAGATAAACTGCTTTCCTGTCAATTTTGTTAAGAAAAATATGTTCAGATAGTCCTAAAGAGTTGGTATCTGGGTATTTTCTTCACAAGAACAGAAATAACTGTCTGCTAAGCATAGCAGGTTAAAATGAATAGGTTATGTGATATGGTTTGGTTAGTGCTATAGAGACTCCACTTGCTTAAGTATGATGTTGAACAGTCAACCTCATCTGTAAAAATGCTGAAAAAATAAGTAAAAGCATATTATAGAACCATCTTGGGCACTATTTGATGTATGTAGAGTGTCTGGGCACCCTTCCTCTTTATTTGTGACTCTTTACTTCTGTTGCAGGGAGTGCTTGCTGCCAGTGGCAGCCTTTTGGAGGAATTGAAGGCAAAAATTAATGTTTCTTTACCACCTGTTATTTTCTCTCCTCATGTAAGTGTGCACATGGCAATAAGGAAATTTACCAATTATTTAGTTGTGCTTGAAGATACAGTAGTGAAAACAGTTGTATTATTATGAAAAGCTTTTAAGAGGGGGCTTGAAGATTAGTGTGGGGGGGTGGAATTGGCGTAAGACTCTTCTTAGCTCAGTCTAAAGGCTAGAGCAATATCCGAAGGTAAGAAAACTATTAGGGTCTATTCTGGTCTGACACAATCTTCAACTTAGGACAGGTCTTACTTAATTGCTGTCCAAATTCATGTATTTATAAATCACAGAATGGCAAGGGTTGGAAGGGCCCTCTGGAGATCACCCAGTCCCACCCCCCTGCTCAAGCAGGCTCACCCAGAGCAGGGTGCACAGGGCATCGTCCAGGCAGGGGTTGAATATCTCCAGAGAAGGAGACTCCACAGCCCCCCTGGGCGGCCTCTGCCAGGGCTCAGTCACCCTCAAAGTGAAGACGGTCTTCCTTATGTTCAATTGGAACCTCTTCTGCTTCAGTTTGTGCCCATTGCCCCTTGTCCCTGGAAGAGTCTGGCTCTGTCCTCGTGACACCCACCCTTGAGATATTTGTGTGTGTTGGTAATAAAGTGGGAGGGTCGGTAATAATTTATTCTGTCTTAACTTCTCACCAGGTAATCTTGTGTTGTGTGATTCAAACTGGGGACTGTCCCTTGAGACTTGACAGCATGTTTGTCTTGAATCTTGGAACAGCCCAGAATTTCTAAACTTGTTTTGAATGATGGTTTTAAGTGTATTGTAACATATTTGAAGACAGCTTGAAATGTATTCTGTATTAAATACAGTCAACACGTCTAAGGAGCGATCTTACTTATTTTTACTACTTTTGAGGAAATTGCATTTAGCTTAAGCTCCAAATATGTGACTTCTGGGCCAGAATTTTTTTTCCCCTTAATTCTACTTCTGTGATGGTGTGAGACTTTGTGTTTCTGTGAGGATTGTGAGAATACCGGGTGAAACGTGCTGTGGAATTAGAAGTACCTGTTCTGTTACCTCTTCTTTGGTCTTCCTAAGATTCTCATGTAGGATATCCAGCCTATCCGATGGGAATGGTAGTAACTTAGGGCTGATTTGACTGGATCCAATATACAAGTAGTGGGAAAATGTGCTTTTAAATATACGTCTTGTTGATATCTCTTCCTGTAGTTGCACCATGAGGCCTGTCTGATTCTCGCAGTGCAAGCAGTACAACAGATGCTTTTTTGTGATCTTCCATACTTGACTTCCTTCTTAGAGATAGCCCTGGCTTTTGGGGTGAGTCCTAGATATTGATTTCTGTTCTAAGAGATGAAAGCAAATGATATTTAAAATCTGTGTAACACCAACTTTAGACACATTGGACTTGGGTTTGTTCCCCTCTAGCTTTGACCTTTAATTTATTCTGGTTTTTAAGAAATGATTGGCAATTAGGTTAAATAACTAGTCTTATTTTGTCTCTTCCCAGAATAACTTTTGGGCCCTGAGGCTGTTACTGGACCATCTTTCCTATGAAGAACATGTTCTCCATGGCACTGTCAACCTGATTTTGAGAGATCTAAATCGTCAGAAAGGAACAATGCTAAAACTGTGAGTAAACACTTGCTCCCTGAAATCTGTCTGTTTATAGAGTGTTTGTCTGGTACTCCTGCAGCGATAATGTTTAGCAGAGATATAATCCTTAGCTCTTTGAAACCAGCCAGCCCAGTGCTTTGGGTAAGTCAAGAATGCACATAAGATGCTAGGAATCAATAGGAAAGTTGTCTCTATTGAACAGCTATGTTCTGTTCCCTGGTTTTATATCTCCTAGGTGGCAAAACCTTGGTCCCCAGTATGTGGGTGAATTCCTTTGCCTGTTCCTGACATGCAGACATAAGAAGATGCAATCCATTGGCCTGCTCACTCTGAATATTATTACAGAGAACCTGCATATGTAAGTGAATCTTCATCATGGCCAAATAAAAAATCATTGTGTTGCAACAGTGATGGTAGTTTTCTATTAACAGCGTGAACTCGCAATTCATTCTTGTTTTATTCTTCCCTGTTATTAGCAGTGGTAAAGGTACCAACCACAATGTTTTGGGTAGATTTGAAATTGTTCTCTGTTAACCTGTTGCAACAAAGGGCCTTCCCGCTTCCCAGTGCCCAACGTTAGGAAAACCATGTTATTGCTATCTGCGCTTGGCAACCCTCGGCCAGTCACCAAGATTACATGTAGTACAGTCTAGTTCTATCACTTAGATATCACTGTCATCAACAACAACCAAAAAACCTTAATTAGGGCTTACAGCAGAGTAATTACTGGACTCTAAGGAGGCATAATGCTGTGTGAAAATTTATTTAGAGAAAATAGTTGAAAGTAGCTCAAAATGTGTGTTATTGTGTATCTACAAGAATACAGATGTCAGTGTTTCTTTTAAACTTGTAAGAAAAGTTTCACATGGTGGGGAGAGAGTAGATCCCCACCAAAAACTGAAGTTTCTGCAATGCAAACTGAGGGCAGCGTTAAGTTTGGAAGAGGGTAAGAATGACAGGCACAAAAAGAAGAGGCCACTCGCTCTGCAGCAGCACAAAGCTTCAGTGGGTGGGGAAAAGAGAGCTCTGAAAAAATCAGAGTACTTTATTTAGATCACAAATTATAACAGGACACTGATGTGTTGCTTTTGATACCTCTAGCAGTTTATAATCCTTGCTCTCCTGTGTTACGCAGTAAAGCATTATAGGCTTCAGAGTGATAGACTTGAATGTATTGACATAACAGTTTTACAATTAATTGACGCTGTGGTTGTAGACCGGAAGGCAGAGTAATTGCCTGCTCTGGCACTTTGAATTCACATGTAGCTGATGCCAGCAGAGTAATGTTGAGGATTCACTTCTTAGTAGCTGTCTTAGTGGAAATCATGGACATGTAAGTTGACCACCTTCGTGAAAGGCTTCTGTCTGCATCATCCCTCCAGCCTTTGCTGTGGGTAGCTGAGAAATTACCTAATTTCACTCAGGTGTGTATGAGCTAAGCAGTATTTAACGAATCTGTAATTCCATTTATTGTCTCTCTTTGTTTTGTGAGGCTTTGCAGTACTCTCTAGCAGTGATCCAAGAGAACCTGATTAAATCCTCTTTGTTTTATGGTCTATCTCTTAATTATTTTACTGTACATCTGACACTGAAATTGTCTCCATTTGGAAGTTGAAGTACATTGTTGGATCAGCCTTCTTGGAAAGCTTTGATCAATGCAGAACTTAGAGTGGCTGGAACTGGGGGCAGATGTGGCCCTATGAGAAAATGGATTAAGAATCTAAATCTGTTTTTCAGGTGTCCATGGGCAAAGCATCTTTGCAACTTCTTCCACAATGCAGTGAGTGTCTCTGTATTTCAGAGTTCAACAACAAAGCATATCAATGCTGTGCTACTTACCAACTGTAGTATTTATCGATTAGATATTTAAATACATCGTTTGGTCTGTCATGTATCAAATGTGTCAATGCCATTTATTAGAACATTATTATAAAAATTACTGAAGTATACTAACTATTTTTTTTTCTCTGCCCAGGGATTAAGGCACCTGCCCCTTGGCACTACAGCTCATCATGAAGTCTCGAAGTTCATGAACATTTTTGAGAAACTGTAACTTGGCAAAACCTTCAGGATGATTTTCCAGTTTGTCTTAATCTGAGAAATCTCTTCCTGGAGTCCCCTGTGTTCTGCTTTGGTTGTTGTCTCTAAAAATACTCAGCTAAACACCGATGTCAGAAAAACCCAAACATGAAATCCTAGGTTAAGATGGTGAACAGCGGCTGAATTTCAGCAGGCGTGTTTTGGAAATTCCCTTTCTTGCAGGCCCACGGATTAAGCGGTTGTTTGAAGAGGTAGCAGGTTTAAGTTTGGTGTGGTGGGGTGTGTTGTGGGTTTTTTTTTGTTTTGTTTTGGTTTTTTTTTTTTAAAGCCAGTCTACGGAGAGTTGCTGATGGGGGGGGGGAACAAGGGGGAGAGAAACACAGATGGAGAAAGCACCATGGGTCTTTACTTCTGTTGTGTTGCACAGATGTGCTGTGGGTGAGGTGCCTGCAGCAGAACAACTGCTGAAAGCGCACAAGTTTGAAAAAGAAAAACTGCCTCTCCACAGGTGTGCAACAGTATGCATTGAAATGCTGTTTGCACACCCTTTTTTTGTTTATAATTATAAAGGATAAACGACTCCTGAGGATGAAGGACATTAACTGAAGCTTTTTACTTTGAGAAACAAGGCCTAATGAAGTAAATAGCTTGTTTTGTTTGTAAATTAAAAAAGTTCTATTTTCAGGATTTTCCTTTGTGGGGCTTTGTTTTTATTTTCTACAAGAAGTGACTGTTAGACTGGTGCTGATGCCTCTCTGGGTTTCTCAAATCCTTGTTCTAGTGGTAAGTTTAAGAGTTAACTCTTGAACTGTGGGGGTAGAAAGAGGGAAATATTTCTAGCCTGGTTTATATCCTCCTTTGCCCTGCTATGATGCCTGTCTGCTTTGGTTTGGGAGGGAATCTTGATCTGTGATGAACTGTATTTTGCACATTTAAGACTTTCAGTGGCTTTTGCAGCTTTTGTTATCTTAAGTAAGCTATTCTATTATTCAGGTTTTCTACAGAAGTGTACGTCTATCTAAATCAACACAATATTAAGTAAAACTCTAGAAATTCTGGTGTTATGTTGTCGGTTCTGGTTTGGGGTTTTAGTTTGGTTTTTTGTTGGTGTGGTTTTTTTTGTTTTTTTTAAACAGTTGCTGTACCTTTATCTCATGCTGTGCAAGTTCAGCCAGGACAAGCAGAGGTCAGAGAAGTCCCCTGATAACTGGGAATCTGCTTCTGCTGATGCTGACTGTTGGTAGGGCTGCCCACGTGGCGTCTTGGCCTGGTCTGTGCTCCTAAAAACACACCATGGTGTTGCATCCTGGTTTCAAGAGAGGTGTTTCTTGCTTGTTCCTAATAACATGATCTTTCTCACTTCCTCTACCTGAGCAGCAGAAGGTCCCTGTTCCTGTTACAGCTGAGGGGGGAAAAAAAGAGGGGCAAGGAGGCTGCAAACGCTAATCTTGGTAGGTGCTGTATCTGTGTTCTCTGCTTTGCCGTGGTGTAAAAGCTTTCCTTTCTCGACCTGCAGCCTGGCCTGTAGCTCTCATTGGGTGCTCTCCCTGTGGTGCAGAGAGGCTCCTCTTCTCCCCGAGCATGCTAACAACAGGGTGCTACAGTGTGCTTTGTCACTTTGCTGTGGGTGTAAAAAGCCAACAGTAAAACTTAACATCACACTGAACTTGGGCTGGGCTTAGACTTCAGTGTCACCCTGTTTGGTGCCCTGTGCGGGAGGGAGCAGGAGCAGGAACAGATGAGGGCGGGTGTTTTGTTACCCCTTCGAGCATGGATTTACCATCACAAGGAAAGGCTAGGAACTGCTTATTTACTGTAAGTAAATAGCATATCTATTCATTATTTATCTACTTCTGAATTTTAATGAATTATAGCAGCGCTTATAGCGAGGATTATGCTATAGATAATGATATAATCTTTTATGTATGAGAAAAAGACTTTATCTGAAGACCTGCATTTGACTTTGGGCACAGGTCGGATAGACGGGTGTAGTCATTATGGTCAAGCATGGTAGCAAACGTCTTCCTGCTACCCTGTGACTATGACTAGTATAACCCCAGAGGTTATAGAAGGCTGATCTCGCCTGCTTTGCTCCAGGTAAAACTGAGAAGAACAGAGCTCATTAAAAATTGAAATGCATAGTTTGGAGAGGAAAATGGGCACCTAGAGCCGTCTCATCCAAATATTGTATTTTAGCAAAGAGAACTCTGCTGTTCTAGCAAGTGTGCATACAGCTGATACTGCCAAACAATAAATAGAACACTTGCAGGTAAGTGCCTGTATGGAAAATAAAACTTCAGCTGAGAAGTCTTACGTTCCTAACATCTGGAGTGGGAGTAACACCATCTAGCCCCGGAGGGTAGGGTACCTGTGGGCCCAGGGGTGCCTGGTGGTGGTTAGGGGTTAACAGACCTGCTTCGAGTCACCGTTGACTAGGGATAGGGTTGCTGTGGTACACTGCTAATAAACTTAATTGTTTACAGGCCACAACTAATAATTAAGAACAAACACACAACCCCCTCTGCCTAGTGCTGCTGGTAAACCAGCTCTGCTCCGGGGAGGAACAGCGATGCCACGCTTGGATGCTGAGGCTGAGATCTGGCTGCAGCTCAACAGGGAAGGTGAAGCTTTACTGTCTCACAGATGTGGGCAATAAAGTGTTGGTGAGCAAGTTCATGGCCCCAGGGCCACCCCCAAACCCACTGCCCCTGCCTGCTGTACCCTTCCCCACCTCCTCGGCTGAGGGGGCTGGCAGTGTGCTGATGCTGTTTTGACCGAGGACACTAATTAACCTGCTAAATGAGTTCATCCCTTCGGAGTGCACACTGGAGAACTGAGTTATCTAAAATACCATCCCCAAGAGCCATAATTAGCATCCCAGGGACGCCTTTGCAAGGTGGTGGGGGCTGTGGGCTTGCTGCTGGTGCACCCTCGGGTGCCATCCCTGGGTGCAGGGCTGTGGCTGGGGCACACAGCATCCCCTTCCCTGCCCATGGGCCAGCTCCTGCATGGGGAAGGAGCTCCTCTTCCCCTGCTCTTGGAGCTAAATAACTCGGGGACAGCAATAATGAAGGGGACACAAGTCACTGCAGAGCTACCCAGGACAAAAAGGAGTTGCACTCTTTCAGCTGCCTGCACAACCAAAAATACTCCCTTTTAATAATGGGACTAAGTGAAGTAAAAAAATCAGCTCGTTGCAGGCTGCCAGATTAACAGATGGCTACAATCATTAATATTGCAAAACTTCAGGAGTTCATAATTCTTTAATCTACAAAGCCTGTGGGGGTACCTAATGCCAGCCCTGCAATCTGCCATGCTGGGGGCTGCTGCCCACCCCTGCCCAGTCCCTCCCAGACCCCCCAAGGGTTGGGCAGGCAGTGCCTGCTCCTGCCTGCAGCAGGGGAGCAGGAGCCATGAGCTTGATGAACACACACACCCCCCACCCCAGACTTAGGGCTGGTGTTGACAGTGGCTTCTAAATTCACTGGGAGCACCCCTGTGGCTCTGCTGGCCCCACTCAGCCCTCACTGCTGTCAGATTGCAGAAAATCCACGGAAATCCAATAACCCATCTCCAGTGTCATTTTATCGTTAAACCCAAGCCTTTCCCATAATTGTTTGGAGGCAGCGCAGGGGGATTACGATTGATGTCAACAGCCAGATAATCTGGCGTTCAGCCTTCAGTATCGCTGACCTCCTTAATAAGGCGCTGGTGGTGTTGGGAGCATGGGGAGTGTGCCCTGAGCCGCAGCTGCCCCAGAGGAGCCCCCGCCAT